GGATGCTCTATGGTGCGACAGCTATCTACATCATACTGTATGATAGTCAGGCAAATTATCTTGCTGCCCGCAAGCAAAGGTTCTCCTAATCGTGTAATCGAAATCTGAATCGTCATTTTTTTTTTTTTTGTTTGTTTTTTTGTTTGTTTTGTTTTTTTCTTACTTCGTGTATTTTTTACAACGTGTTTTGTGTGCTGTGTTTTTTGTACGTCGCATTAGTTTTCGTAGTGTGTTTCCTGCGTCGTGTTTCCTGCGTAGTGTTTCTTGCGTAGTGTCTCCTGTGTAGTGTTTCCCTGCGTAGTGTTTCCTGCGTGCCGTTCCCTGCGTAGCGTTTCCTGCGTAGTGTTTCCTGCGTAGTGTAGTGTTTTTGTACGCAGTGATTTTTGTACGCGGTTTTATTAGTATTATCAGTATTATTATACATCGGAGGTGAGGGGGTGAAATCAAAGTGGAACGGAGAGCCCCCCTACCGGGAAATCGGTTTCGGTTTCGTGTTCGTGCGTGCCGTACGTGCGGGCGAGGCGAAGCTGCGTGGGCGGGCGAGAAGAAAGTCTCCTCCGTCTAAGGTGCGGCTGGACCAAATGATTCCTGACCGGGGGCCAGTGGCGCGCGGTGTACCGCAGGTGTCCCGCCTTCGGCTGAGGCGCGGCCGGACCAAATGATTCCTGACCGGGGGCCGGTGGCGCGCGGTGTCCCGCCTTTGTTCCGTCATTGTCCCGAAGATGATGATGATGATGTCGATGATGTTGATGATGATGATGATAATGATGATGATGACGGTGATGGTGGTGATGATGATGGTGTCCCGATGATGATGATGATGATGGTGATGATGATGATGATGATGTTGACGATGTTGTTGATGATGATGGTGATGGTTGTGATGATGATGGTGTCCCGATGATGATGATGTTGATGCTGATGTTGCTGATGATGATGATGAAGGTGTCCCGATGATGATGATGTTGATGATCTGGACGATGTTGATGATGATGAGACGATGGTGATATGATGATGATGATGGTGTCCCGATGATGATGATGATGATGTTGAGGTTGATGATGATGTTGTTGATGATGATGGTGATGGTGATGATGGTGTCCCAGTGATGATGATGTTGATGATGATGACGATGGTGGTGTCCCGATGATGATGTTGATGATGGGGATGATGATGACTTTCATGATGGTGGCCCGATGCTGTAGATGATTATGCGGATGTTGATGATGATTATGGTGTCCCGATGATGATGATGGTGATGATGATGGTGACGATGATGATGGTGTCACGATGAAGATGATGATGATTGTGATGATGATGATGTTGCTGATGATGATTGTGTCCCGATGATGATGATGATGAATCTGCTGTTGATGATGTTGTTCATGACGATGATGATATTGTGGTGATGATGGTGGTGGTGTTCCGATGATGATGATGGTGTCCCGATGATGATGATGGGATGATGATGATCATGATGGTGCCCCGATGATGTTGATGATGATTGTGATGATGATGTCGATGATGATGGTGATGGGGTGATGATGATGGTGTCCCGATGATGATGATTTTGATGACGTTGGTGACGATGATGTTGATGATGTTGATGACGTTTATTGTGAGATCGAGTGTGGTATCGATAGTCAAATCGATAGTGGGACCGAATGTGAGTTCGATTGTGAGATCGATAGTGAGACCGATCGTGAGATCGGTTGTGGGATCGATATTCAGATCGATTGTGCTATCGATCGAATGAAATAGGTCGAGTGAGATCGGTTGTGAGATCGACCGAGGGAGATCGATCGAGGGAGACCGATAGTGAGATCGATCGTGGGACTGATAGTGAGACCGATCGAGTGAGACGTTGGTTCCCCCCTCCCCCCCCGAACCTCCTTATCACCCGAAAGGTGGTCGTATGTATATATATATATATGTACATGTACAAATAGGATCCATTGTTTTTTTCTACGCAATGCTTTTACGTAGAGTTTTTCACGCATTTTTTTTTTGCTTTCGAACGTAGTGTGTTTGACGTAACGTTTTTTTGCGTAGGGTATTTCTTGCGTAGCGTTTTTCCTGCGTAGTGTTTCTTGCGCAGTGTTTCTTGCGTAGTGTTTCCTGCGTAGCGTAGTGTTTGTGTAAACGCATTGTTTTCTTAACGTATTCTTAACGCAGTGCTTCTTTCTCATATTAAAAAGGAGAACGTTTTTAATTTACAACAAGCAGTATTCTAAACGCAGTGTTTTTTTTTTTCTTTTTAGGTATGTCGTGTTTTTTTACGACGTTTTTTTGTTCGTAGTGGGTCTATTGCGTAGTGCTTCTTGCGCTGTTTTTTTTATACATACATATATATATATTCTTAACGCAGTGCTTAACTTTTATATTTTGAACTATCGTTCTTAATGTGCAACCAGCAGTATTTTAAACGCAGTGTTTTTTTTTTTTTTTTTTTTTTTTTTTTTTTTTTTTTTTTTTTTTTTTTTTTTTTTTTTTGGTTTTAATATATAATATATATATATATAAAATATTATTTATTATTATTATTATTTATATTATTATTATCATTATAATTATTATATATATTGTTTGTGTGTTCTTCTTTTTTTGGTGTATATATATACACGTATTCATTTATTAGTCGTAATGTGTCTATTGCGTAGTGTTTCTTGCGTAGTGTTTCCTGCGTGGCGTTTTCTGCGTAATGTTTCCTACGCCGTGTCCCTTGCGTCGTTCTTTTTTTGGTCGTTGTGTTTCTTGCACAATGCTTGTTGCGCAGTGTTTCCTGCGTAGTGTAGTGTTTTTTACGTATGTTGTTTCCTGCGTAGTCCGTTTCCTGCGTAGTGTTTTCTGCGTAGCGTTCCCTGCGTAGTGTTTCCTGCGTCGTGTTTCCTGCGTAGCGCGTCCTGCGCGTTTTTTATGTATTGTTTCCCGCGTAGTGTTTTTTTGCGTAGTGTTTCTTGCGCGGTGTTTCCCACGTGATGTTTTTTTCGTAGTGTGTCCTGCGTAGTGTTTCCTGCGTAGTGTTTCGTGCGTAGTGTTTCCTGCGTAGTGTTTCTTGCGTAGTGCTTTCCGCGTAGTGTTTCCGGCGTAGTGTTTCCTGCGTAGTGTTTCCGGCGTAGTGGTTTTACATAACGGTTCTTGCGCAGTGTTTTTTTGCGGAATGTTTTCTACGCAGTGTGTTCTACGTATTTTTTTGCGTAGTGTTTTCTACGTGGTGTTTCTTGCGTGGTGCCTTCTGCGTATCGTTTTCTACGTTGCGTTTTCTACGTGCTCATTGTTGCGTAGCGTTCTCTACGTCGTGTCTTCTACGTAGCGTGTCTTGCGTAGTGTTTTCTACGTCACGTTTCCTGCGTAGTGTTTTCTACGTCGTGGTTCCTGCGTGTTATTTTCTACGCAGCGTTTCCTGCGTAGTGTTTTTTGGGTCGTATTTTTACGGAGTGTTTCTTGCGTAGAGTTTTCTACGCAGTGTTTTTGTGTACGCAGTGTTTTTAATACGCAGTGTTTTGTACGCTGTGCTTATTTTTCGCAGTATTGGCTGTACCCAGTGTTTTTTGTACGCTGTGTTTTTTGTTCGCGCATTTGTTGTTGTTCTGCACAGTGTTTCCTGCGTCGCGTTTTCTGCGTAGTTTCTTGCGTAGTGTTTTAAACTTAGAGTTTCTTGTGTCGTGTTTTATACGCAGTGCTTCCTGCGTAGGTTTTTGTTCCCCGTATTTTTTGTTTACGCAGTGTTTTTAATACGCAGTGTTTTGTACGCTGTGCTTATTTTTCGCAGTGTTGGCTTTACACAGTTTTTGGTACGCAGTGTTCTTTGGCTCGCGCATATATATATATATATATATATATGTAACTAATTATTTCTGCACAGTGTTTCCTGCGTCGTGTTTTCTGCGTAGTTTCTTGCGTGGTGTTTTCTACTTCGAGTTTCGTGTGCCGTGTTTTATACGCAGCGCTTCCTGCGTAGGTTTTTTTCCCCCGTGTTTTTTACGCTGTGTTTTTTTGTTGGCTGTGTTTTCTGCGTAGTCCCTCCTGCGTATCGTTTTCTGCGTAGCCTTTCTTGCGTAGTGTTTTTTGCGTATCGTATCGTACGTGAACGAAAGCACTGCGTGAAGATCACTGCGTCAGAAAGTGTTGCGTTCGAGCATTGTGTGAAAATCACTGCGTATAGAAACCGTGCGTAGAAAGCACTGAGCAAACATCACCGCGTAAATAAACATTGCGTTAAACACAGTGCGTTGGAAACACTGCGTGAACAATACATTGCGGTAATCAGCAGTGTGTAACACATTGCGTGACACTTACTGCGTTGAAGCCATCGCGTAAGACAAACACGCGTTAAAGACACTGCGTTTAAGCACACTGCGAAACAACAGCAAACACTGCGTAAAACATTGCGTTGACACAACGTGCGTTAAAATCACGGCGAATAAAAAACCACTGCGTAAACGAAAACACTGCGTGAGCAAAACCACTGCGTAAGGACAGCTGCGTAACATACCCTGCTTCAACATTTTGTGTAATAAGCATTGCGTAAACAAGCACTGCGTACAACAAACTACGTAAACACATACTGCGTAACAGACACACTACGTGAAAAACACGGCGTAAAAAACCACGGCTTTAGAAAGACAGCGTGCACATAACAAACATTGTTTTAAAACCATTGCGTGGGACAGATCGTTTTTTTTTTTTTTTTTTTGTTGTTGTTGTTGTTTTTTGTGTATATATATGTAAAACAAGAGGCAGCAATACACCGCGTACAAAAAACACTGCGTTAAACGACTGCGTCAAAATCACTGCGTGCAACAAACACTGCGTAAACAAAGACTGCGTAACACGAACAAGGCGTAAGAAAGCACTGCGTATATGAATTTAAATTCACGCTTAAGATCAACCCTCCGCGAACCCCTGGCTCCGATATGCCCTGACTTGAGGTGCTCTAGGCCGTTTCGCCTAGCTCCGAGATGCCCTGACTTGAGGTGTTCTGGTCAGTTTCGCCTGAGATGCCCTCACGACTCTGCGTTCCCAGATGCGGTCTGCGAGGTGCTCGGGCCCGTTTCGATTGAGGCATCCTCGGAACCCCAGGCCCCGAGATGCCCTGATTTGAGGCACTCTGGCCTGCTTCGCCTGAGACATCTTGGGGTCCTCGGAACTTTGGGTCCGATCACCATGGCTGCGCGATTCGGGGGATGCCAGCCCATCCCCGGGAAGGCTTTTGGCGTGGCCCCAACCAACTGCTTGTGCGAGAATGTGCGCACGGACGGTGGCCTCCCTTATCAGGGAGGAGCGCCTTTTGCTAACTTTTGTAGGCAGCGGCGACCAGAAGCGCGCTAGAGGTCACTTGAGTCACTTTTGAGGAGCCGCGCCTTTAGTCTCACTTCTATCACAAAAACAGATCGCACCCATAGTTTCTGTACCTACTTCGGCTGTCCACACTCTTTGCTGGCGAGGGCCTTCCTGACGGCGCACAATTGAAGACGAGGCATTCCTCTCCGCCCAGGGCTTGGTCCACACGTCTTGCAGTTGGCGGTCGCGGGGCGGCCATGAGTGTCTCGGCAGCGTTGAGTGTGTCGGCAGCACGCGGTCGTGTCTACTGGCCTCTGAGTGTGCACCAGGAGGTGGTTGAGGAGGAGGAGGAGAAGGAGGCGGTTGAGGAGTAGGAGTAGGAGTAGGAGTAGGCGTAGGTGTACGAGTAGGAGTAAGAGTAGGAGGAAGAGGAGGAGGAGGAGGAGCAGGAGGGGGATGATGCTGATGATGATGACGATGATGATGGTGCTGATGATGCTGATGATGATGATGCTGGTGATGGTGTGGGTGTGTGTGTGATGACTGATGATGGTGATGATGATGCTGCTGCTGATGGTTATGATGCCGATGATGATGATGATGAAGATGCTGATGATGATGCTGATGATGCTGACGATGATGATGATGATGATGATGATGATGATGATGATGCCGATGATATTGATGCTGATGATGATTATGATGCTGTTGAGGATGCTGACAGTGATGATGCTGCTGATGAAGCTGATGATGATGATGATGCTGATATTGCTGCTGATGACGATGGGGACCTTGTTGGTAATGCTGATGATGACGATGATGCTGAAGCTGATGATGCTGCTGATGCTGGTGATGGTGGTGGTGATGATGATACTGATGATGCTGCTGCTGCTGATGATGATGATGATGACGATGATTTTGATGATGATGCTTATGATGACGATGATGATGGTGCTGATGGTGATGCTGATGATGGTGCTGATGATGATGCTGATGCTGATGATGACCATTACAGTGCTGTTGCTGATGATGATGCTGATGCTGATGCTGATGATGATGGTACTGATATTGATGATGATGCTGCTGATGCTGATGCTGCTGATGAAAATGATGATGACGATGCTGATGCTGATGCTGATGATGATGATGATGATGATGAAGAAGAAGAAGAATATGATGATGATGATGATGATGATGATGATGATGACGATGCTGATGATGATGATGCTGATGCTGACGATGCTGATTATGCTGATGCTGACGATGATGCTGCTGCTGCTGATGATGATGATGGTGATGATGATGGTGGTGGTGAGGATGATGCTGATGATGGTGGTGATGATGATGCTGCTGCTGCTGATGATGATGATGATGATGATGATGATGATGCTGGTGGTGGTGGTGGTGATGATGATGATGATGATGATGATGACGTTGATGCTGCTGACGATGATGGTGGTGGTGATGATGATGATGCTGCTGCTGCCGATGATGATGATGATGATGATGATGATGATGATGATGATGATGATGATGATGATGATGATGATGATGATGATGGTGGTGTGGTGGTGGTGGTGGTAATGATGATGACGAGGATGATGATGATGAGGAGGAGGAGGAGGAGAAGGACGAGGAGGAGGGGAAGGATGAGCAGGAGGAGCAGGAGGAGGAGGAGGAGAAGGAGGAGGAGGAGAGGAGGAGGAGGAGGAGGAGAGAGGGAGGAGGAAGAGTAGGAGGAGGACGACGATGATGAGGAGGCGGAGGAGGAGGAGGCGGAGGAGGATGGCGGAGGAGGAGGAGGAGGCGGAGGAGGAGGATGAGGAGGAGGAGGAGGCGGAGGAGGAGGAGGAGGAAGAGGAGGAGGAGGATCCGCGAGCTACAGAGGAAGCGGTGCCGCCTCCCCCGCACGCTCGATGCAGTACCCCACGGAGCTTGCGTGCGCGCTGGAGGACCGCCACTGGGAAACGGCGACCTGGAGCCGAGTCCAGCTGCCGAGGCCCGAGTGCGCCGCCGACGAGCTCCCGAGAGCTGCGGCCACCTGCCAGAACCTGACGGCTGGCGGGGTGCCGTGTCAAGCGCCGCTGGACGAGGCCGGATTCCACGCCGCTGTCTGCCAGCCTGGCGGTGGCGTCGTCAAGCGCCACGCGGGATTGGCGCGAGCCGCGGGCAGCCTCGCGGGGAGGTGGAGCCACTCCGCGCCGCTCTACGAACAGCGTGTTACCACCTGGGACAGAGCCCGCGCGCCGCGGCCAGGGCAGGCGGCGGCCCTGGAACGGGCCATCCTCGACGTCGAGTACGAGGACACCGACGGGCGACGGTGGCTGGACGTGACCGTCCGCCACCCAGCGGCCGGCGACGAGCCCGCCGTGCGCGCGGCGGCGAGGCGCTCGGGCGAGGCGGCGCGCCGGGCTGAGCGCGCCAAACACGCGCGCTACCCGGGCGAGCGCTTGACGGCGTTTGCCGTGGAGACGGGGGGCCGCCTCGGCGGAGAGGCGCGGGCCTGGCTCCTGAGCCACGTCCGGGACCTCCCGGAGGACGAGCAGCCCCTCGAGCTGGCGCGGGCTTACCGCGTGCCCAGCTGCGCCCTTCAACGCGGCCTGGCGCAGCAGCTCCGGCGCGCTGCCGGGCTGCGCTGAGCGCGGGCGGCCAGGCGCTGAGCGCGGGCGACGGCGCGCGGCGCGGAGCAAGGCGGCCGCGGCTGGGGCCCTGGGCGCGGGCTGCAACCCAACGGCGAGCAGCGGGGCGGCGAGGCGCTGACGCTGCGGTGGGGCTGCGGTGGGGCTGCTGGGGCTGCTGGCGGCGACGGCGCGGGACGCGGGCCGCTCGGCGAGCCGGGCGCGGGCCGCTGCCCAGGGCGCAGGGCGACTGGCTGGCGGCGCCGCGCGGGCCAGCCAGGAGCTGCTGCTGCTGCTGCTGCTGCTGCTGCTGCTGCTGCTGCTGCTGCTGCTGCTGCTGCGGCGAAGCCGGCCGCTGCGGAGGGCGCGGGCTGCGGCGCGAGCAAAGCGCTGGCCGCTGCCCGAGGCGCGGGCGGCAATGCGGGGCGGTTGGCTGGCGGCGCCGCGCGGGCCAGCCAATCGACGTCGGGGAGCTGGCCTACCTCATCCTCGCGGGGCTCGCCGAGCTCCCGTGTAACGGAGGGTGGTAGAGGCCCCGCTTGGCAGACCCCTCCCCCCTGGGAGTGGCCGCTGTCTCAGACAGCCGGCCACCCCTGGGGGAGCCGACCCCGGCTGCGGAGGAGTCTGCCGGCTCCCGATCAAAGAGCGCCGGCCGCGCGGGGAAGACTCGCGGCCGCCTGCTGGAGGAGAAGGAGGAGGAGGAGGAGGAGGAGGAGGAGGAGGCGGAGGAGGAGGAGGCGGAGGAGGAGGCGGAGGAGGATCCGTAGCAATTTTGGCCCAAGTCTAAACGTAACGAAGGGTGAAGCACCCGAGGCGTTGCGATTAGATTTGGCCCGTCCGTCCTCGTTTCTCGAGAGGGATAGGGTGCACTCAGTCGTCCCTGTAGTGAGCCTGCCCTGACCGCAGCAGTCTTCTTTCACGATCTGCACAACGCCGTTTCGGCCCTCTTTTCTGCCCGCGAGAGCCCCCCCTGGGGGCCAGCCGATGCCCGAGTCTGCCCGCGATGCGCGTGGCGGCAAGCCGGCGGCGGCCCCTGCTCCTGGACCAGCCGCTGCCCGCCAAGGTCAAGAACGAGGAGGTGGCCGCGGGTCGGGTGACACACGTTCACGTTCCGGCGGAGAAGGTTCGCGCGCGTCGCCAGGCCCACGCCAGCAGCCTGGGCCTGGGCCACCGCGTCGTCCTGCTGCTGGTGCTCGCTCTGCTGACCCTCTTCAAGGTTCGGCCGACCCATGGGCGGGCTCGTCTGCCGCCAACCCCGCTGGTCGAGGGCAAGCTGAAAGCAGTGACAGCTCTTCGGTCATCTCGCGGGGTGCCATTGACGAGATGCTGGCAGCGTTCAAGAACGACGTGGAGCGGTCCTTCGACGCGCGCATGGATGAGACCGAGCGGGGGATCATCGCGGACATCAATGGTCACACCGTGCAGCTTGTCAAAGCCGTCAGTGAGCGTCAAGAGAAGGTCAACGCACACGTTCGAGGTGAATTGGATGAGCTACGATCTCGGCAATCAGCATTTGAAGTTCAGCAACAGCAGGTGCGCACGGAGATGGAGCAGCTCAGACGCCAGCTCCACATTGCAGAGACGACGGTCCCGATCAAGGACCTCGGCAGTGCGATGGAGTGTGACAGGGACCCAGACGGCTCGATCTTCGTGGCGAAGACGCAGTCCAATGTCACCATCGAGAATATCCAGAACCAGCTCAAAGCCTGGATGGAGGATGCAGGTTTCGAGGGGCAGCATTGGTCGGTCATCGGCAACGCGCCAGGCAGGAGATTCAAGGTGCAAATGTCGGGCGACGCGAACGCAGCCATGCGGAAGGTCAAACAGGCACAGCGTCACCTTAGGCAGAACGGAGAGTGGAGGCAGTTCAGCACGCCAACGATTGAAGGGGGCCAGTCCAGGATATTCGTTGGCCTGGACAAAAGCGACAAGATGGTGTGGCGTGAAGTTCAAACTAAGAAAATGGCCAGCCTGGTTCGTGAGTTGCTGCCGAATACACAGGTCAGACATGATCGGACCAAAGGAATTATATTCTTGGAGGGTGCGCCATGTGTCCAACTCGACGTCGGCCAAGAAAAGGATGATCCGACCAAGCTCCTCTGGAACTATGCGGTGGTTAGTGCACAAAATGTCGACAAGGACGCCCTTTTGGCGAGATTCAACGGTATCTTTCGCGCGGCGGAGGAGATACGGTGGCAGATTTAACAGTATTTTCCAGCCGTGGCATGAGGATCTATCATTTCTCTCTTCTGTTGTTCCTTCATTCATCACGTGGAACACTCGTGCTCTGCTTCGCCATCTCCCATCCGCTCGAAAGATCAAGTGTGCGCGGCTGGCGGAAATGATACGTCCACATACTATGATTGCGTTGCAGGAGACGCATGGCACCGAGGAAGAATTAAAAATAACTACCTGACTCATCAGAAGACGGCGGTGTTCGCATCTATGCCCAGACATGATGCTGGCGGGGTTGCGATCCTTCTCCATGGTCTCTCTCAGTGTGAGGCGGACCTGGCGCTCGAGGAGGGACGTATCCGCCACGCAGTGATCGTGCCAGGATATGTGCACATATTACAGATCATGGCGCGCGCTGCAAGTTCGAATGGCACGCGCGGGCAGGACGCTATGATGGTGATGTAGAACATTCACAATTTTGGATTGGACGAGGCGACGGCTCAGACATTGATGACGAAAATTTCTGCGGAG